AGTAAACTATTAGCATTAATTCCCCACCCAAATCTGTAGTTTCCAAGTTAAATTTAGGTAATTATCAATTCTTTTAAACTACCCCAGAAAAATGTTATGGTTACCCCCCCATTTAAGCAATAGTGACCCACAACCCCCAAAAATAAAAATTTAACACCATCCCAAACTCTCCATCCCCACCTGTGCCCTATTCTTTCCTTGTGTTTCCCCAGAGCATTTTCTGCTATCTCCTTTGAAGCAAACTGCACGAAGGCCTCCCCTGTGCTTCTCCCCTGGTAGTCCATCGTCAATGTTATCCCATTTGGCACGATTTCCAACCCTTTAACCCAAGGACAAATAACCCCATCAAGGGGAACAGTGTTAAAGGCTGAAACATTCCCATCTGAATCAAATATTTAAAACAAGTCTAAACAAAACAAAACAAAACAAAAAAGCTTAGTTTCCCATCACCCCATAATACAAATGAAAAGATTTTTTTCAAATATTACTGGATTAAATAAATTTTTTGTAACCAGTGTAAAAACACTGTGGTAATTATACTCTAAAAACCCACCTATATTACATGAAAAAAACTGCTACAAATCAAACTTAACTTCCATATGCTCCATATGCTAATTCATGGTTTATTTCATCACACAATTATTCTCAATTAAGTTACTGTAATTTAATTAGGTTTTACATATTCTTAAACATTCTGTATTGAATATTAACTGGAGCACATTTCACATTTTAATACATTCACCAAGATTATCATGGTTAAATTTAAAAGTTCCAAAATCAAATGGGTTTTACAAATTAAAAACTGAGTAATATAATACAAATATAAACAAAATCACACTACTAAACTTTGACTAATACTAGAGGTACCTTGAAAGAACTGAACTATTTCCTCTTTGCTGCAACCAAATGGTAGTCCTCGAAGTCGTACTGTCCCATCACTAGCGTCATTTGGACCATTATGTTTCATAACCCAATCCATCTCAATACCGTTTGATTTAAATGCTATAAAAAAATAAACAAGCACATAGAGCAGTCAATCAAAATAGACTCTTTTCAAAGGGACTGAAGAAACCTCTCAGAGGTGTCACAAGAGGAAATGCAACACAGGGTTAAAAGACTCCAGTTGACAATGCCACAACCCAAGGGATACTACCTTTCTATTGTGGGACAGAGAAAAGGCAGTGAAACCTGACACTACCTGGCAAAAAGTACTGAATTTCTTAGGATCAAACATTACGTATTTCCTCATTTTAAGAAAACTAGAATGATTCAACTACCAGAGCCTTCAAACTATTTGTCACCTAAATGCCAACTCCAGCCTTTTCATATCTCACATTTTCATTCACACTTCTCAGATTTCACTATTCACCTGAATAGTTATGCAAATTCTTTAAAACTTGAATTATTCAGAAGTTACATATAATCCATCTACTCACATCAGAAAGCCTAAGTAAAAAAAAAAATGTAACGAATAGTGGTTGATGTTGAAAAGTATTAGGAAGGTGATGCACTATGACTTTGGATACATCAAACTGTCTTTAAAGGGGGAAATTTTAGCTGTATTTAGTTTAAACTCACTAAGAGCAAGAGTTTTAAAATGAGTTATAACTGAAGTTAAAGGCCACTTTAAAATGATCATCTTCCAACAGTACCCAGAAGCCATCTACTTGGAAGTCATCGGAGATAGTGAACCCATCCATCCAGTTCCCTTCCCCAGAGGCAATCGGCATCCATCCTTCCTTTTAAAATTCCACACTTTCAAAAGAGGCTAATGCAGAAGTCCTTCAGCTGCAGAAACTTACCAGAACCGTATAAATTTCACTATGCAGCTGTAGGAATCCTACTCACCTGAGTATTTCAAACCTTTCCCTCACCACCTCCTCCCCTGTAAACAAAACAATTTGTTCACTTGATTCCTTTATGCTTGAGGATATACTGTACATCAATAGCATTCATTAATGCTTAATTTCACATGATCTAGTTATCAGTTCAACTCTTAGGGGTAGCATCCGCAAAGAGTAAATTTCTTTTTCCTAGAATTCATGCACTTAAAGTAAGCTAATGTAGAAATTCTCCATAAGTTGTTACTAATCAAATAACCTCCTACATATGAATCACCTTCAGCACCTGTTTTGTTAAAGTCCTAGGTGCCACCCTAGACATACAGAACCAAAATGAACTGACATTACAATTTATTCTTACACACACAAACATTATCAACTTTTAAGAGAAATACCCTGGAGGCCTGAGTCTCTATCATCAACTGGCTGCATCAACTACTTAACCTCTGAGCCTATTCAAGTGTAAAATATAGCAGTAGAACCTATCTATACCTCATTGAGCTGTTAAGAATTACTTAAAGTCCATTTTCCAGGCCTGAACTTCCATTTTCCAGGCCTGAGTAAAAAAAAAAGAAAAAAAAAAAAAAAAAAGAATTACTTAAAGTGCTTGGTCTGCCTCATGGTAAGCACTTGCTGACAGCAACTGTCAATGAATTTTAAGGTGCCTTGCAAAAGCAATGAAACATACTACAAACAGAATTTCTGAACCTTAAAGAATAGAAAATTATTTTGAGTCTTGAAAGGAAATAAGGACTGCTAAATCTTCTCTGAGGAAGCAAAGGCTTTTTAAACGTTTAATACCATTCCGGAGAGTGGCTCTGAAAGGCGGCCCCAAATCAGTTGGGGAAAAAAGTTCAGAGACATTTTGAAGATCTCTACCATTAAAAAAAAAAATTCAAAAACAGCACCAACCTAAACAAGTGTAACCAAAAAGGGTGGTGATCTAAGAGAAGAAGGGAAGAAAAAGTGGAAAAGTTCTAAAAATCTGAAGTCAATCTAATTTAATGTGAAAGGATCTTAGTTGATACTTTCTCATATGAAAACAACAAAGTATTGTCTATAAGAAACACCAAACTGTTAACACAATTTTCAACTGGGGAAAATGTACCCAGATTCACAACAGGAGTGTACAATAAAAAGAGAGCCTTGCTCTACCACCCCTTCAAAACTCAAAATTCTACTTACAAAACAAAGAAAAAAAACTCAAGCACATACAAAGAGGCAATCTGATGTATAATCTTAATAAAGCTGTCAGAAACTACCTAAACAGTTTACTAATTATTCAGGATAATCCATCTCAACCTGTCTTTGCAACAATGTCATGGCTAATCACTTACTCTAAGAATTTCAAGTGTTAAAATAGCAATTAAAATATGAAGATAACTTTAGTCAGTTTTATGAGACTTTAAATATAATTTCCTAAACATTATGCTAAGTGAAACAAACCAGTCACAGAAGACCACAAATTTTATGATTCCATTTATAATTTGTGATTGTCTGAGGCTTGAGGGGATGGAGGGTGCCAGTAAGGGGAATGACTGCTAATGATATGGGCATCTTTTGAATGATAAAAGTGTCCTAAAATTGTAGTGATGACTGTACAAATCTGGGAATGCACTAAAATCCACCGAACTGTACATTTTAAATGTGTCAAGTTTACGGTATGTAGATTATATTCCAAACCCGTTAAGGAAAAAATATCTAATAAGAACAGTTGAAATACAGAATTCTTATAGTGGGGGGGAGGGCATATCCTATCTTCTTGAAGCGTCCTCTAAATAGTAGCCTGGTGGTCCAAAAAAATGAGAATGAATTTTGGTTTTTGCCAAACAAGTGGTGATAATTAAGTTTAACTCTAATGGAAATTTTACACTATTCTTCCTTTCCAATGTGGTTGTGACTTAATTTTAAATAAGAAACCTAGACATACTACTAATACCTTAAGGAGATAAGGACTCAGTTATTTTAAAAAGGCAATTAGAGGGGTTTCCAGATTATGGCGCAGACCAAAGAGGGCAGAAAAAAGGTGTGTCCTCTAATCCAATTAGGAAAGCTATTAATCATAACAGTAAACTACTTTATAGGAAAGTCTGAGCTGTCTTTCTAAAGTCCACTAAGACTTGTTTAAAAGTAAGAATTCAGGCAAACTTTTCCTTGGCAATCCTGACAAAGCATCACAGAACATCTAACAACAGGCAGGAAGGTTGTTTTTGTTTTTAGAGCTGGAAAAGTAGATAACAGACTTCTTGTAAAGATTTATATGAATCATTAGAAACTTTCAAGCCTTTCCCCTCTCTTTTGTATTGTCTTCAATGAAAACTACCCACCAGTTCGCTGCTCTAAGGAACCTGTCCCCAAAATTACACCACCACGTGACTGGGTTTACAATTTGTCCTGTTTAGTAGGCTTATTTCCCTGTTGAAAATACGACTACAGAGTACTATACTCCTACAATAAAGGAAAAACATGCTTAGCTACCAAAAGAAAATAAGCCCTAACTATATTTTGAAGTATTTTATGTCTACAGCTTTAAGCCTAGAAAAAAAATCTCCCTGCACAAAATACAACTCTTGGAGATTGAATATTTAAAGCTAGTAACGCAATTCCTACATACACACACACATACTTTTACCATCACTGGTTGTGTTTAGCTATTTCCTAAAAGTGAAACTCTTAAATTCCAACCCATACGGGCCAAACTACACGAAACCACTGTTAAACCCCTCACCCCCCACCCCCAAGTTCAAAAAGCAGTATCACAGTTCACTGGGCCCAGACGACCTATCTGAAATATGCCCAATTTACATTCCTATTTGATAAGTCACCCAACTTTTCTGCGTACATAATTACCCGCCAAGTCTTTATAAACGTTTAAGCGTGGAAAAGAGAAAAAAAAAACTCTTGGAAAATGAGTACGTACTCTTTTCGAAGTTCCAAATCGGGAATATAAGGGCCGGCTAAGCGTCCTTTATTCCTCCCCGGAGACTTTTCGTTTATCTAGCTGCCCTAGAGACCAGAGAGCTAGGGAGAGCACGCCCCTCCCCCGCCCCGCCCGGCAGCCAAGCCCGGCTAAAAACCTTCGCCACCGGGCGGCGGAATTACAAAGGAGGCCTGCCTCCTTTGTCCTGGATTTGGGAGTTGAGCGCCTTCGTCGCCATTGGCCTTCCTCCCCCAGCTCCAACCTCTCTCATCTTGGGAATCTGCGTCAGAAGTCACTCGCAGTCACGGCCAGCCCAGGTAGCCCTGCCGAGACTGCAGAGGAACGGAGGCCACGGTGGGAGGCCAGGCCCATCCGGCGCCATTTCCATCGGGAGCGCGCCCGGCAGCCCTGATTCTCCCCCCACCCCACTGCCCAGCCGTTCCCTGCTCGCTTCACTCCCCACCTTCATCCCTTCCAGGGAGCTCTGACCAACCCCCAACCCCCGGCCTTCTAAGTCAGTTTTCGGAAGCTGGGGCACAAAAAGTAAAAAGAGCGGGGAAGGGCGGGAAGCCAAGGTGGCCGCGCCACCGTACCCAAAATGGCGGAGGCCATTTTGAAAAGGGAAATGCTGGACGCCCCCCACTTCGGGCCTTGGTGTCCTCCCCTCGACAAGCCGCCCTTCTTGAAGTGGGAGACTACGGGGGAGGCGCACCCCAACCGCCACCGAGCGGCGACCTCCACACCGCCCCCCAACCCCACCCTCTCCCGGTCTCTCTTTCGTCCTTCTCCCGACTCGGCTCTCAAAACCACCAGCCCAACCTACCCCCTTTTACTTCAGATACCCTGTCAGGCGACAGTAACACCGACTCCGGTGCTCGGGTCCGGTCGTGAGGCGGGACAAGTCGTTTGCCTCGTGTAGCGCTCACCACAACGGCTATTCCAACCGTCTCCGGCGGCGGCAACCGCTAAGGGAGCTGCGCAGCAGAACGACTGGCCTGGGGGGATGGGAGAGAGCGAGCGAGGAGGAGGGGGTGGAGCGAGAGCTGCCAGAACGCTCGGCACCACTCTCGCGAGACGATGGAATCGGTTCCGCTTTGGCGTTGGCGGCAAGGAAAGCGCTTGCGCGCCGCGGTGCTGACCAGTTGTGGGCGAGGTAGACAGGAGTACAGGCTCGTCGAGTTAGAGAGAGAGCCTCTGCCCACGCCGCCCTTCTTACTTACCGTACCACCGTCAAATTCTCAGACCCCGCCGTTCTGCCCTCTTGGGGAGGTGGCCGCAGCAGTCCTGCGAGTGTGTTTAGAAGGAACCGCGGTGTCGCGGTCTGGAAATTTCTCCCGTGGTCTACCCGTCACGAGCAGATTCCGTGAAGGCCCCGCCCTCACCCCCGCGTCAACAGCGTGGAAAGGGCGCCGCGTGGTTCGGCAGGCGAACGCGGGGAGGGCGTTGTTTGTCCACCATGTTTGCATTGTGCAGTAAAAAATAGTGTTTCTCGGCTACGAAGATACAAGTGCCCACCAGGAGCCTATTTTGTCTCTCCGCCAGGGGATCCTCCTCCTTTCCCTGGGCCTGGGGCTGCCGGCGCCCCCCAGCGGGCCTCGCCCGGGTGCGTGGCCTGGGCCTGAGGCTTCTTGCTTCGTTTCCTTTCTTTTAACAAATCATCCCTCTCTCCAGTCGCCTTCGCGTTGTCATTAATCTCTCCCACCGTTAAAGCCTCAGTGACCGATCAGCCGCCCGTGGAGGTCACCTTCGGGTAGTTTTCTAAATAGAGCTTTGCATTCTTGAAAACTGCGCTTACAAGTAGCACCTAATAAATACGTTTCGGTTGTGCTGTCATGTCACTGAATGCCTCATGACGCGTTATGGCCTTTAAGTAAAAAAAATGCAAGACGAATTTCTGTGAGAAGATGGAGAGCAAGTCTGGTAAAGAGATTAGTGCAAGTTAAAAGTGCAAAGGTAGGAATGTACATAGCGTGCGAGGAAGAGAAAATGAGCTTGACTACAGTTGAGTGTTTGTGTGGCATGGGCGAGATTGGAAATGTGGACGAAGCTAGGTTGTAGACAACCTTCAATGTACAGCCAAAAGACTTTGGACTTAATGTTACAGACATTGGAAAGACTATTGGGGGTGCGGTGAGGTGTGTTAGCAGTGTAGAAGGATGAAATTTGTTTCCCCATGAAATCTGCAGTGTGTAGGATGGAGACAGGAAACCATTTACCTTCATGTTATGGAAACTTCCATTTTAAGGCTTTAATTCATTCTCAAACTTGCTTCAGACAAGTGTGGGACAGTAAGAATTGCCTAGGTCATAGTGCCCTACTGCCATTCTTGAGACCGCTGGTTGATGCTGTAATTTCTATAGCTTGCATTTATTGAGAGTTTGTTTGAGCTAAGCGTTTTACTCAATTCACTGACTCTTTACAACTGTGAAAAATAATAATTATCTGCATTTTATAGATGAAGTGCCTGAGTCCTAGAGAAATGAAAATAGTTGCCCAAGGTCACACAGCTTAGTGGCAGAGCTGGAATTCGAACCTATGTGGTTTTACCCCAATTGCCAGAGTCTGAAAACACTATGAACCTTCTTGGAGTTACAGATAGCTCATCCATAAATTAAGAGAACAGACATTATTATAGGCATATTGAAGTTAACTTCCCCTAATAAACACTTGGAGTTATCATCTCAGGAGACCTGTGGCTACTAGTTTACTGGCCAGAAGCTTTTAAACAGGCCTGAAACTTGATAGTCCTGATATCACTGACACTGTGACCCCCTAGATCCCTCCCCTTAAAAAAAACAAAACAAATTGCTGTATTAGTAAGACTTCTAGCTCCCACACTTCAGGTGGAGTTCTTCCCTTGGTCCTCCTTCCCTGGGTTCAAGTTACTTGGTTATTTGATCCTTTCAGCCTTTCAACCTGAGTTGGTAGGTGGAATTTGGTTATCCCTTTCACCCATTGCCTGAATTCAAACAATCTATTTACTGCCTGATTGAATTTGGCATTCTTTCCACATACTTACTTTGTGTGGTTATGGGCCACAATCTTAAAATCATTCTAATGACATGAAAGACTTTTCACTACCAAACTGCTATGTTTTCAGTTTTTTGGCCACAATTTCTTTGTGTTGGGCACTCTTTGCCAGTGTAAATGCTTAGGAAGGAATTGAAATTAGTACATACACTCCTTTTGCCTTTTATTATTACAGCAAGTGGGAAGTTCTGAGTTAAATACACATATAGTCATAAGTATAATTTTTATTTGGCCTCCAATTTTATTACTTTTCTCCAAAGAAAACAACAACAAAAAACAATGTCAAGTATTGTCATTTGCAAACTGAATCCTGTAAGTAAGGTGAGATTAGCTCACCACAGCTCCAGTAATCCCTACAGAATTGTTTCCAGATCGATCTCTGTGGAATTGTTTCCATAGAGATGGTTAGAACTAAGGACTCCCAGCTGCTTTGGTTTTTTTTTTTTCTCTTTGTCTTCCTTTCTGTCATTTTAGTGCTTTGCTGTTAGCATAGAGATCAGAGGGACCCTGGAGAGTATCTTGCTAGAGGCCATAATGAGAGAAAAGATGAAAAAGAAGGAAATAGAAGTACCCACACCACCCAGGGGAAAACAGGACAAGGAACATGTGATATGTATTTTACCATCAGAAGGAAGAGGAGAGGAAAATTCCATGCAGAGCCTGAGAGAGAGAAAGAGAAATTGAAAGAGATTGCATTCTTCTGGAGGAGGGAAGCCATGTTAACTAAAAATTGGTTGAGATGGTTGTTCATATACCCCCAATGGCATTGTAAAGTACCATAAAAACTGTATTATCATAATCACTTGCCTATGGAAAAGCAAATAAACTAAAAATATGACAAAATCCACAAATAACTTTCTAGTAGTGTGTCTAATTAAGTAGTTAATGCCTTTGGAACAACAAAATTTTTTTACTAAGGCTTTTTAAAATGCTTGTTCTTCAACAAGCCATGATTTTTGGGGAAAAAAAGAATAGTAAAGAATTTTAATCATCTTTAATAAAAAATATAAAATGCTTGTTCTTTGGTTTATATAATATATATATCTACTGTCTTTAGAAAGCACTAATCTTTATTCTGTTCAACCTTGTTTCTCAAGACAAGGATTAATTACAGTTTATGTTCTTGATAATTTTTTTAAGTTGCTTAAATATTCACTGTGGGACTATGAAAACCAAATTACTTCATCCAATCTTAATGATTATGATACTAAGTAAATAAATAGAAACTCAAAAGGAAGAAAACACCTAAACACATTTTTTTCTCTAATTTTGGAAATAATTAAAAATATTAAACATTCTTTCTGTTCTGGTAGATTGCTGTGAAGACCAGGAAAAACAGCTAAAAAAGATAGGTACTTAAAGAATCTAAATCAAATTACTATACTGCTTTTAGCATGTCATAAGCATATTAATAACTTAGAAAATAACAGCATTGATGATAACAGACCATTTCCCCCAAAATGATTTTAAACTTCTTAGTGGTAAATAAAAATACAGGTTTCATTATTTATGTACCTATGCCTCTCAGTGTGCAAACAATAATAAAGGTCACATTGGGGTTGGGGTACAAGTAATTCATTTTCACCGCAGTCTAGCAACATTATTATATTATGGGCCAAGAAATTGAAGAATCAAGAGACAAAGTAATGCTCCAAAGTTTACCCAAAAAACCAATGACAAAACTTAGAATTGCCTTAAAGGAGTCAGACAGGCCTAGCTTTAACCCTAGTTCTGACACCAACTACCAGATTATTGATTCTGAAGCAATAACTTTTCTAAACCTCAGTTTCTTAATCTCTAAAATGAGTTGTTAGGTTATTATATAGGGTAGAGATTAATAGTTGAAATAATGATAATTCTAGTCCCATGCTGTTTCATATGTAATTGTCATGGCATTTTTAATAAACTTGGTTGATTCCTGTTAAACTCACTTCAACAGTGAATTTAATAGAAATTCTTTTTAGTAATACAGGGTCCAAAGTACTGTGTTGGGAGCCAGGAAATTATTCCAGTTTCAACTCCTGACCTTGAGCAATCCGCCCACCTTGGCCTCCCAGAGTGCTAGGATTACAGGCATGAGCCACCACGCCTGGCATACATATTCCAGTGAAATCTGTAAGTCATATGACCTCATCTGTGGACAGAATAAATAGTAGTTCACACATAATGTACTGATGATTTTCCAATACAGGCAGATACAGTTGCTATGGATAAAATGGAAATTTGAGGAGCATTACTCTTGAATTCCTAGTAGGTCGGTATATATGTTTCCATCCACAAAAAATTA